AAAATCTCACGGGGTCACAGATTCCCAGTCAACAACAACAAGAGCCATTTGTCTCCTACCGACAGGATATTGACTACCGGACACAGGATCCCATCGGAAGTCCTCCAGTGGTGAAGGTCACCCAGTACAACCATGGGAAGCACATTGAAGAAACTGAACCGTCTCGCCATCGCTCCGGCAGCCGGTTTTCTCGGCTGGAGAGCCCAGATGGCAGAAGGACAGTGGACAGAAGAGGAGCGACACAAGAACATCAACCGGTAAGAGCTCAAAGCAGGCCACGGAGTCTGCGAACAGATTCATACCACCATCTCCGGCCACCACGTACTAATCCTAGCAGACAACGTAGCCACCTAGGCCCAGATGAACCGCCAAGGGAGCATCCACTCCAGGTACCTCATGCAAGAAGCCGGGCAATTAATGCACTGGGAAGAAGGGTATCTTCTATCCGTGCAAGCAGAATATAACCTTGGAACCTCCGATGTACAGGAGCTCCATTTTGGGCCTAGCAGACCAATCTACACACTCCCGCGACCAAAACGTGGGTGGAGCTTCACGGGGCGAAGGGGGATGGGAGCTGCACCCCCTATGCCCCTTTTTAGGCCTAGCTGGCATCCCTGCATCCTCCGGTGACAAAGGTTCTCCTGGGAGGGGGTCTGCACCCCAGCCCTTTTGGGCCAACAGGCCTCCCTGCAACCTCAATGAACCAGAAACAGGTTGCGGGAGGGCCTCCCCTCCCCCCCTCACTCCATTTTGGGCCTAGTTGGTCTCCCTGCAGCCTGCTGGGTCCAAAATCAAGCCATTGGGGGGGGGGGGTTGTACCCTCCCATCCCAATTTGTGCATAGCAGGACTCTCTGCAGCCTTCTGGGACCAAACACCATGGGGGGCTGTGGGGGGGGGTTGCTTCACCCCGAATGCCCCGTTTTTGGGCCTAGCACAGGCCTTGCTGCTTTTACAGGTGTTATATCTGTCTTATATGCAGCTTTATTCCTCTTTAGTCTCCATCTCCAGTTTTGTGACTTTAGGATTTCCCTCCATTTGAGGCACTTCCTTTTGTTTCTATATATTTACATTCCCGATGGCTTGTTTAACGTTTTAAGTGCATTTTGAGTAAAACTACTTGAAACACCTGCAGCCTCCGGGGACCAGAAAGAGGCCGATGGATTTCCCCGTGTTAAAAGGGAGAGTTAAAGTTTCTAGTCCTCATGGTGGCTGAGCAAGCTCCAATACCTAAATTCTCACTCAAGGGGACAGACGGACATGATTCTGCTTTCTATAAAAGCGGGGCACATTTATTTCCCCACTAGGCAATAACCCGGGGTCGCCCGGGTATTTATTTATAAGGGAAAAATGTCTGGACCAAATGTAATTTCTAATGTTGGATTTTCCCCCTTACCAGAGGTAGCCCCCTAGTGGAGTACTTGAATCAGTTACCATGGCAACTCCACTGTGTTGTACAATGGAAGCCATTTTACAGCAGTACAGTAGAAGTCATTTAAAGGCACAACAGGCTGTATCTCAACAGAACACACAGCCCGAGGGATGTTAGGGATGTCTTACTACACAGTATTTGTTTCCAGTGAGTAAGTCATCTGTGTACCAAGTTTGGTTAAAATTGATCAAGGCGTTCCAGTGTTATGCTGGAACAAACACAGATGCATACACACACAGAGCCACTTTTATATAAAGTATATAGATTAGCAGAACTCTAACCCCTCTTCCCCAATGTCATAAAAACAGTTTGATTCTCACAAACACGCCTAGATTAAATATTAAATTTGCACAATTGAATGCTGGAAGGATTTGGATTGTCTGAGAACAGGTGTGTCTGGGTCCGGACACCGAATTTAGCTTTCTAAATCCTCACGATCTCGTAAAATCTCACGGCATCGTGGATTCTCATTCAACAACAACAAGAGCCATTTGTCTCCTACCGACAGGATGCCGACTACCGGAGAATGAATCCCATCCAAAGTCCTCCAGTGGCGGATGTTACCGACCGCAACCAGGGGACGTACATTCGAGAAACCGAACCGTCTCGCTATCGCTCCGGAGGCCGGTTTTCTCGGCTGGAGAGCCCAGATAGAGACCGAGATGGCAGAAGGTCAGCGGACAGAAGAGGAACGACGAGAGAACGTCAATCGGCAAGAGATCGAAGCAGGTCACGGAGCCCTCGAAGGGATAGAGATCGCCGGTCACCATATACCAATTCTAGCAGAAACCGTAGGCACTAGGACCCAGATGAACCACCAAAAGGGAGGACCCACTCCAGGTAACTCTTACAAGAAGCCGTGCAGCCTGCAGCTTCCTGCAACTAAAAACAGGCCACGGGTG